TGACGATCTGCTAAAGAAGTTGTAACTCCAAAGGAAACTGCTGAGAAAAGGAGGCCAGCTGCCCCAAGTCTGGGGGAGAGGGCGGCTGCTCGCAGGTGCAGACGGGGCTCACTCCCGGCGCAGGCGCGCGCTCCCCTCCCTGACAACCCACTTCTGGCTTCCAACAGACTTGTGTGTGTGTGTGTGTGTGTGTGTGTGTGTCCCTGGGGAGGGCCTGGGGCTGGGGAGGAGTCCAGGTGGCAGCCTCCACCCACCCCAGCCAACAGCTGTCTGCCTGCAGCCCCCACCCGCCCCAGCCAACAGCTGTCTGCCCACAACCCCTGCCTGCCCCAGCCAACAGCTGTCTGACCACATCCCCCCACCCGCCCCAGCCAACAGCTGTCTGCCTGCAGCCCCCACCCGCCCCAGCCAACAGCTGTCTGCCCACAACCCTGCCTGCCCCAGCCAACAGCTGTCTGACCACATCCTCCACCCGCCCCAGCCAACAGCTGTCTGCCTGCAGCCCCCACCTGCCCCAGCCAACAGCTGTCTGCCCACAGCCCCCTCCCAGCCACCCTCCCCCCAGCCCACAGCTGTCCACAGCAGGGGAGGGTGTGTGTCGGGTGGGCTCAGAGGGGACTGCTGTCCTCCACTTGCAGTTCCAGTCACTGTCCCCCGGGCTGTTGCAGGGACGTAGCAGCTGACACGCTCCTGCCTGCTGGGGACAGAGGTGGGGTGAGCGGGGCAGCCCGTCACAGGCCGCAGGAAGGCAGCGGCGCCATCAGCACTTTCCCAGCTCCCGGGCAGGGGTTTTGTGTGCATTTCTTGGCCAAGACGCATTTCCGTGCACCGTTCAAGCCACCACCCCCTCCTCCCAAGCCTCCCAATTAATATCTACTCCGTGAATTATTTACTGGGAGCAGATGCTGGAGCGTGAAGAGCGTTGAGCAGGGATCCTCAGGCCAGCTCTTTAACAGGTCCACGTATTTGCCACAAACCCAGCTGGAGGTCTCCCTCCCACCGAAAGCCTAGGCTGCCCCCAGGCCAAGGTGCAGGGATCGCCAGGTCACCCACTTGCTGCCGGCTCTTCAGTCCCTGCCAACCCCCGCCAAGGCATCTCCTTCCACTGATAGTCCAAGCCATCCCAACAAAGCTCAATTTGATCTAGAGAAAGACCTGCTATCTGTCCTCCCCTCTCCAACTCGTCCTTGGGCTGCGCGAACGGTCCCTGGGTGGGCCAGGCTCGCCCAGGCCGGGCCCTGCAGATATTCCTGGACTGAGACGTCACCCCGACATGCTGAACGAGCCACCTGCCCCTGCCTGCCCCCCGTGGCTCTCAGGAGAACATGGGGAACACCTGTCACTACACCCCAGAGCAGGCCTGCCAAGAACCAAGGCAGTTGGACCACTGAGGGGTTGGGGGTTAAGGTAGCGGGAGATCTAAATGGGCAAAAGGCCTCGCTCCCCACAAGAACGCATAGGCCAGGCTTGCACCCTCCTGCTTTTCTGTGCAATCAGGGTGAAGAAGGGAAAGGCGAGCTCTGCCGAGGAAGGTCCTCTTCCCTGCTCCTGGCAGCCCCGGGGCCCCTGCCACCCTGGACACCGGCACTGCCCCGGGCAGGGGAGGAGCCTCGGCTGTTCTGGATTCCCCCATCTGCCACGGGCCAGCTTCATCTCCCCACAGTTGCTCTCTGAACTCAGCGGACCCGGCAAGGCGTGGAGACGGTGCAAAGGACAGACGTGGGGGAAGAGACAGTACGGGGCGTGGCTGCCTCTCTGCCTCAGCCCTCATCTCCCCCCACCCCTGCGCGGGGCCACGGCCTCCAGTGCACTAGGCAGCTTCTGGGCACGTGCTCCTCCCCAGGGCTCATCTTCAGGCGAGGGGGACGGGGCAGTTGAGAGCAAGTCTGCCTTGGTTTGGACCCCCAGGGGTGCCACCATCCCAGGATGAGCTGTGGACGACGTGGGCTGTGTCTGTGGCAAAGGCTCATCTCCGGACGGATACCGATCCGCATTAGAGAAGTGGTACCAAAGGGAGGAGGAACGCTGGGGTAACGCATTCACGGGCGAGGCCACACAGGGTCTGTGCAGGAGCAGGTGGCTCCGATTCAGAAGTCACACAAGCAAGGGCTCCTACGCGTCAGTAGGTGACCCCCAAGCCCCAATTTACGTGCGTGCACCTGGAAGAAGACATCACTTACTTACTATGCCTCCCCTTAGCGTCCTCTTTCTAGACAGAGTGGGGAGGTGCCTGGGGGAGGGGGCGGAGGAAACTGTGGCTATGACTTCAGATGTGACCCAGTCTCCCTTGGCCCTGGCCTGGCCTTTGAGAGTCGTTGCGGGCCACCTATGGAGCGCCCTGTGAGTTCAGAGTGCCTGCTCCCGTCTCAGCACCGGGACCGGCAGGGCACCGCTGTCCAGGATTCTGATATCCCGGCACTTTGCTGGAGGCCCAATCCTGCTCTTTTCCTGAGAGAGCTTCCATTCTAGGGACCTCTGGCAGTGAGCAAAGCATGAAGCCAGTCAGATTGGAGCCTGGCTGTGTGTGTGTGTGGGGGGGGGGGGGCTGGGGAAAGCCTCCTGCGTCCTCACATCTCCAACCCGAGGGATGGTTCAGGCACACACTGGACGCCCGCACCCCACCCGACCCGTCTTCACAGCTTCTAAAGCCCTCACGCACAGCACGTGGGAGTCCCCACAGTCCGGGGAAACCAGGCTGCGCTGGTGGCTGGGCTCCCTGGGCCGTGTATGGAACCAAAGGTTCTGCCCCAAGCGGTGGAGGAAGACCCAGAGGTGAGCAGGAAGGACCATGGCTGTAGGGCGGTGGCCACTCCAGAACGCCCCAGAGCTCAGAAGCTCAAGTCCCCCAACGAAGGGGCAACAGCCATCCCTCCTTTCCAGTGCAGACTCCCCGTGCTCCCGGGAGCTTCCAGACGGCGCATGCAGTGGCCCCACCTCAATCCTGTTTCTCTACTGCTCAGGTCTCTTTGGGCCAGCCAGGCAGGCCCAGGGCTTCCCCAGTCTCTTTTCTGTAGGAACTTGGCCCGCGCTGATCAGGCAAGGCATGAATATGTAGGGAGATTTAAAAAAAAAAATGAAACACAACCCATGTTTTTAGGAAGTAAACGACGGTACCTTTTTGGGGGGTGTGGGGGATTACAACCCAGTGCCCACCCAGAAACCTGTGGTTTAGGGGGAAGTCACTTCCCGCTGGCTCGCCCCTTCCTAGAAACTCCGTCCAGCTCATCCGAGAGCGCACGCAGCGGGGAGTTGAAGCTCAGACAGCGCGATCTCCGTGGAGCCATCCCCGGGCTTCCCTTGGCTCCGCAGCCCCTCCCCACCCCACTGCTGATATGGATCTTATACATGTGCCTATGGCGTGGGCCTTCCTCACGAGCCGGTGAGTACGTGCACTGCCACACCCCGTGCCGCGCCAACACCAGGGGCTGCAGGAGGCCCGGAGAGGAGGCATTCCAGGTCCCTCAGCCCTGGCGACCTCGTGCGCATGCACACGCGGCGTATGTGTAAAGTCTTGAACTACAGGCTAATCTGAATCTTGGCCTGATCCCCCTGATCGTCCCAGAATGCCAGAGAATGAGAGAGCTGTACATTGCTGCTCCGGCATCGTCTCACTCCCCCTTCCTCTCCCTCGGGGTTCTAGCCAGAGCATAAAAAGCGCGCGTTTCCGGAAGCTTTGATGGCAAAACCAAGGCCTCTGGGTACCCAGAACCTTTAGAACTCAGGATCAGACTCAAGATTACCCTCCGGATTAAACCGTGAATGACAGACATTGCTCCGAATATCTTCCTAGGGAGCCTATGAAGTCCCAAACGTTCCTGCTGCCCCACTCCCGGCCCCGAGCCCCCCACGCCTGGCTAACAAAAGCCTTGCCTGGTCGAGAGACTGACAGCAAAAAGCTGGTGGAAGCCCTGGGGCCAGGCCTCTTTTTGGAGCGTCCCCCCCACCGTCTTCCCCCTTGCCCTGTCATCCTACGAAGCCCCCTGCAGTCCTAGGTAACGGCCCCTGGTGTTCCCCCGCGGAGTTGACCCAAGCCCACATCCGTTTTCCCTACTTCTCAGCCCACAGGCCCCACTGTGGTGAGCCGCCACAGATTTCTGCTGTGCACCTAGCACACTCTGTCTCCCACACACCCTCCATGCCAGCATTTCTTCAGGGCGCCTGCAAGCTCATTTCATGGGAACCAAGCGTCGGATGACAGAGCAGACCTAAAAATACAAGCTAGGGGTGGGTGTTTGATGCAGTGGTTAAGACGCTGCTTGGGAAGCTCGGGTCCCAGAAGCACTGATCCAGCTTCCTGCTAACGAGCAAGCCCCTCCCCCGGGGGCAGCAGGTGATGGTTCCTGGACTTGGGTCTCCAGCACCAACCTGGAAAACTTCAAGTAAGCTCCCAGCGGCCGCCTGGCCCAGACCAAGCTGTTGCCAGCATTTTGGGGAGTGAACCAGCAGACGGAAGAACCGTGTCTCTTTCAAATATATTAAAAGTTTAATGCAGCCTTTAGCCATAAAGTTGGTAGATTCCCCACCCCCGCAGTATCTCACAGTACGAACTGCTTGGTGGAGGCATAACGCCTTGCTTTCAGTAGCAAGTGGCCAGACCCTGCACCCCTGGGGAGCAGCCCCCACCCCAGGTCCTCCGGTTAAAGAGAAGCCCCTGCAATGGCTGCCCGGACCCCGCAGACCCGGCTCCTCTCCCTCTGCCGCCTCCTGAAAGCACCCCAGCTCCTGCTCTCTCTCCCTTCTGGTAACCAAGTCCCTGTGTGCGCTCAGGGAGGGACAGCAGGCTCTGCCGGCTAGGGACAAGACGCGCGAAGCCAGGCACAGCGAGCCGTTGGGAAGGGCGGTTAATTTCCGGTCTCCGCGCGGCGGCCTCGACCCACGACGCCCCGTGAGGGTCCCAACGGCCGCGTGAGCGCGCGTGTGGGCGCGCGAGCTCCCGGGGGTGGGGCCGCCCCGCGCCTCGCCCCACCCCTCTGTCCCCGGACACCAGGGCTTGGGGGGGGGGGGGGGACCAAGGAGGCAGGGTTTCAAATATCCTGTCTCGCGGTCTCGTCGTGCAGCCTCCCCGCGCCGCGTCCCAAGGGCTCTGGGATGGAAGGGACCGCGAGTGGTGGTGGAAGGCCTGGCTGATTGGGCTGGGAGGAAGGGACAGGGCTCTGGAGTGAGTAGCAGGCGTGGCGTGATGGGCGCAAAACCTACTGTTTTCATCGCGGACCTTCTAATTAGAAGCCCTGCCCAGAGGTTTTGAGTCCCTGCTCCCTTAACCCAAATGGGACCCCAAGGAAGCACCACTGGGCAGTGGCAGCGTGGTGGTCACGGTGCCAGGACAGGAGAACAGAGCTCCGTGTGCGCGTGCAAGCAGGGAGCTGGTGTGGGAGGGGCAGTTCACTTGCTCCCGGGTTCTTCAGATCCCTGGTTCCATTACTTCATGGGCTCAGGCAGGAATGGCCTTGGAAGCACCTGGTGACCAGGAACGGGCTGCAGCAGCTGGGGAGAGCGGGGCTGTGAGCTCAAGAGCAGGGGGCGCCCCGCTCAGGGAGCACTTGGTCCCCCCCATGGCCCCCAGAGCCTCTCCCAGCCCCCAGGGAGGGAGAGCAGGGCAGCTGTGTTCTGCCTGGTGCCCCCCTGGCTCTGAGAACAGGGGGCGACTCTCCGGTGATGCTTCCGGAAACGAGTCAGAGCTCACTGTAAACTAGGCACCAGGCCTCGTGCAGCTTCCAGCACTCTGCATCTTATCAGTTTTGAGGGCTTCTGCTTTGATCCTTTATTCCTTTATTTCTCGGTAGTTAAAAGCGCAAGACAGCGGTGAGCATCCTTGTCAACAGCCAGCCTCCAGGAGAACCCAGATCCCTCCCGGAGTCAACACGGCTGACTCTTCGGGGCTTGCTGTGTGAAGGATTTGTGGGTTCCAGGAGCGTAGGCGGCAACACGTACAGAGAGGCCCAGGGATGCCAGTGGGTCAGGCCTAGGCATTTCCCAACAGATAGCCAGGAGCAGAGAGGGCTTTGCACGGGGGGGCTGAGGTCCAGAAAGGAGCAGGTGTGGGCAGGTGCATAGCTGGCTCATGATGGATGGTGTGTGGCTGGCTTCACCTCTCTGCTTTGACTTGTCATGTGAACTTGACCTTCCTGGCTACACTGGGCCTCTCTCTCTCTCTCTCTCTCTCTCTCTCTCTCTGAAAGAGTTTACAGAGAAAGGGAGACAGGTCTTCCATCCACTGATTCACTTCCCAAGTGGTCACAATGACCAGGCTGAAGCCACTGCTTTCCTAGGCCATTAGCAGGGAGCTGGATTGGAAGTGGAGCAGCCAGGACTCAAACTGGTGCCCACAGCGGCTTAACCTGCTATGCCACAGCCTATAAGCCTCTGTCTTAGTTTCAATTTCTCTCTCTCTCTCTTTTTTTTTTTTTTTTTTTTTTTTTTTGACAGGCAGGGTGGACAGTGAGAGAGAGAGAAAGGTCTTCCTTTTGCCATTGGTTCACCCTCCAATGGCCGCCGCAGCCAGCGCACCGCGCTGATCCAAAGCCAGGAGCCAGGTGCTTTTCCTGGTCTCCCCTGGGGTGCAGGGCCCAAGCACCTGGGCCATCCTCCACTGCACTCCCTGGCCACAGCAGAGAGCTGGCCTGGAAGAGGGGCAACCGGGACAGAATCCAGCGCCCCAACCAGGACTAGAACTCAGGGTGCCAGCGCCGCTAGGTGGAGGATTAGCCTAGTGAGCCGCGGCGCCGGCCTAGTTTCAATTTCCATAGCATTTGGCTTGGTGTCTGAATTTTACTTAAAACAATTGTCCTTAAATGGCATATTTGCAAAGCCTTTCTCCAGTCATTTTAAAGGGATTTTTCTCAGACCCTCTGCTGGTTCGGGGAATTGATCGCTCGGGTTGAACCTTCCTCCCAGAATCATCAGGAGGTGGATTTTGCAGGCTGAGTGGGTTATTCGATCTTACTCGGAACTAGCCAAATAAGATCTGCAGAGGTCCTTTGGGAGTGGCTGGGTGCTGTACAGATGAAAGATAGGATCGCCTTGGCCGGCAGGGTCTCGGATGAGAACAGGCAGAAGCTAAGGCAGGCGGCCGAAAGGCGCAGATGTCCAATGGCAGAGCAGAGTTTTAGCAGAGGCTGACAGCTGCCTGGGGAAGGGAGCTGACCCCAGCCGCGGGCCCCTCCTGAGTTGGGGCTGGGTGAGGACTGGTTCCTGGAGCAAGGCTTCGCCAAGGCAGGCCTCTCTCGAGACAGGGCCTGCTGCCACCCCAGATGTGCCCCCTGTCTAGAAACGCCACCTGGGCTGTGCACACGCGGGAGCCACTCCAGCGGGACGATTGCACCTGGGGGATTCAGAGCCCTGCCTCGGGCTGGCCATTACGAACATTATTTCTTATTTCTAGGGCGGAGTTGTGGTGCAGCGGGCTAAGCTCCAACAGTGGCATCGGCATCCAAAATGAGCACCAGTTCCCAGTCCCGGCTGCTCTGCTTCCAATCCAGCTCCCTGCTTGTACACCCAGGAAAGCAGCTGAAGATGGCCCTGCACCCATGTGGGAGGCCGAGATGGAGTTCTGGGCTCCTGGCTTCGGCCTGGCCCGGCCCCAGGCATTGTGGTGGGGAAGATCTGTGTCCCTTACTCTCTAACTCTGCCTTTCAATTAAATCAGCACATCTTTAAAAAAGAAGAAGAACATTACTTCCTAATGAAAGAAATTTCAATGTGGAGCACTTTGGGATTTTTACCAAAAAGAGGGACCTGTAGTTTTATCTTGCTAAATTGTAAAATGTGTCCCCCCAACTCCCTGTCCATGGCTCTCCCCTCCTTCTTTCTACCATTGCAACCTCTGGCAATATGCCCTTCAAAGAAGAACAAAGAGAACAGAAGAAAATGGGGAGAGTACTGTTTCTCACCGTCCCCTCATGTTACACATGCACATACACACACACACATGCACACACACACATGCACACGCACACACATACGCACGCGCACACACACCTTGGTGTTTTTCTGCAGGGGGGCTGGAGTCACAGGGCTCTAGTGTTGCCACATGATTTGGGGGACCTGTGATGAAGTGGCCACCTGAAGCTACCTGAGCAGGTCTCCTGGGTAGGTGGCCGCCCCCCCTGCCTCCCAGGGCTGCAGTCAGGAGGGAGCCTATCTGGGCACTCTGAGATGGGAGTCTCTGGGTCACCCTGCTCTTAACTGCCCCGGTGAGGTGTGTCTCAGCTCTGATGGGGTTGCTGACAAGGCTGAGTGCTGACTGTCCCGTCTCCACAGCTGTGTCGCCGGCCAGGAAACCCCCGCGCCCATCCTCTCTCACCCCTCCTCCTCCTCCCTCCCTGGTGGTCAGCCCGGGAGACAACAGGGTGAAGGTCACAGGCTGTCTGTCCAAGCCTCTTATGTTACAGATGGGATACTGAGGCCCAGCCTCACCCAGCATCCCCCATCCCCACCCCCACCCACGCCGGTCGTACCCCCACACACACACCTTTCCCTCTTCCTTCACCCCGGCGGCTTCCTGACTGACGCCAGCCCTGTGTCTCCCAGCCCCACGGCCCAGGCGTCCCGGCCCTCCTGCCCTCCCCGCAAAGGGGCCCCGTCAACGCTCCTCCAACCGAGCCAGGAGGATGGCCGGTGATTGACAGTTTACACAGAGAATCTCACTGAACACAATTCCTCTCCTATTTGAATAACAATGGGAGCAGCAACTTTGCCAGCTATTTTGCTTTCCCCTTAATCATGATGTGAAAAACCCAGGGAAGAAAGCGATATCAAAGGCTCATAAGCATTATTCAAACCTTCCCTGTCCCATCGCCCGGCACTTGAAAAGCCAGCATCGCGGTGAAAACAGACCTGCTGGGGGTGACACTCGACAGCACATTAACGTGTCATGGGCGCCTGTCACTTTGCAACCGAATGCCGGGGTGTCTGGTGCCCTCTCCGGGTGCAGATGTAGCGCAGCGAGGAGATCGCTGTGGCCCCCTTGACTTTCCAAATGAGGAGGCTGACACCCGTCGGAGGAAGGGGCCGGCCGATGGCTGTGCCGGGCAGAAAAACTGGGACTAGAAGGTTCCGGCCAGGAGCCCTGCTCTCCCGCCTGCATCGTGAGACCCAGTTGTAGAACCATGGAATGTTAACCAGGGAAGAGGTCTCGGTGGTCTTCCTCTAACATGTGCCGGTTCTGGGCCATCTGTGCCCCAAGGAAGCCAGCCCCTCACCACAGAGCCTGACACCACTCCCAACAGCACGCGAGTCACAGGCTGGGTCCCAGGAGGAAATGGCGTTCCATCCGTGTTACCCTTCCGCTTTGCCGACAGGCGGCTGTGGAAGCCCCCCAGCCGCTGGGTCAGTGGCCAGGAGCCAACCGTTTCTCACATAGCCGGCCCAGAGCAGAGAGTAAATTGTCAGAAATGGCCCGAAGAGGCCATCAGTGGGAAATAAAGCAGAGAGTGGTCCGGGAGGCCGGCAGCCGGCGCAGGCTGTCTGCCTCTGCTCCACGGGTCGCGAGCCCGCGGTGCACCCACCCCCCAGCCCGTCCACCCCCCTCTGCCGAAGCCCCGGCTCCTGGGCCCCTCGTTGTTAAATCACTACTTAGGGGGACCTGTGCTGGAACTCGGTGAGGAGACATCAGAACGGGCTCAAGGTCACGTGGCCAGTCAGCAGCCAATCCAATGCCCAGGCCGGAGAGTGCCTGTCGGGGTTCACAAACTGACCCTGTTTGCCCTCCCCCTGCTAGGCCCAGAAGAAACGCAAGGCTCAAGGGAAGGCTGTTCTCCACTTCCTACCTCCTGGGCTCCCCGGAACCCCAGGGAGGGCCCCCGGGGTCGGGGGGGCTGCAAGCTGCAGTGGGGTGGCTCCAGGGGCAGGCAGGCCAGCCGAGATGGGGGGAGTGGGGGCTGCCTTCCTGCCCCTCCCCCACCCCAGCATGATGTCCACTGCCCACACCCCCACCCCCCTGCGGAGCTCAGCTGGGGCCTCACAGGGGCTGGCCAGGTGCCGAGAGCGGCTTCCTTCTGGCGTGAGTTGCTCCTAGTGGTGTGACTGCTGGGGAAGCCTCTGGCCCCCACGGGGGCAGACGTGCCCCACCTGACTCCCGCTCCGCCAAGGTCAACGGTGAGCGAAGGCAGCTGTGAGTGTCCCTGTCCCAGGCTCCCAGGCTAGGCTGGGGAGGTGTCTGAATCCTCAGGTTCTGGGGCTGGGGACTCCCTCTGGGGTCAGCAGTGGAGGAAGGCGAAGGACTGAGGTGAGGGCTCTGGGCCGGCCAGCGGGGCTGCACCCCTGCCCCATCACGTGCTCCCGTGGCCTTGACTTGGCCCCTCCCCGAGAACAGCAGCCAGCAAACACCCGGCGGCGCTGCACTTGAGGGCTGCTGCCTCTGACCGATGCTGCTCAGCTCAGAGCGCCCAAGGACAGCCCTGGCCACCAGGCGTGGCAGCAGCTGCACTGAGCCTCTCACCAAGGCTGACTTCGGATCTGTCCCAAGGACGCCGGCCCTCTTGATGTAACCCAGAGAACCCACTGGGCTGGTGGACACCTAACAGGGCAGTTCTTCAGCAGCCCAGGTGTTCCCGAGCGATACCCAGCGATGTGGCTGCCACCACCAGGGCCAGGCCACAGCCTCCCTGCACTCCCCACACCCCCTCGTTCCCCTCCTACTGACTCTTGGGTGTCCAGCCCTACCCAACCAGTGCAAAGCTCCTCTCTCTCTCTCTCTCCCCCCCCCCCACTCTGCAACAGTACCTCCTTCCCCCACCAATGCTTGTATTCCTCGAGTAAATTGGCCACCAATGCTTGTATTCCTTGAGTAAATTGGCACAAGCCGGCTAACAGCTAAGAAAGAATCAGTTCTGAAGTCACCGAGCCAGGGACCCGGGGGCCGGAGGAACCTTCCAGAGACAGGAAAGCCAGCAGGTGGCGGCCTGCTCGGACAAGCCCTGCCATGTTCAGCAACCTCAGAGGATGCGCCCCCCACCCCCACCCCGGGACTGTCTGCTCTTTCCTACTTCCTCTTTAAAAACACCCTCAAAGGATGTGTGACAGAGAATCAACCCAAACTGGATTATCCCCACCTCTGTGGAGCAGCCGCGCTGTAAGAAGCGTGCAGGCCGAGTGTCCTGGTTTTCCCAAAGGCTCCCAGTGGAAGGACAGAGGTTTCCGGGGCCTGGCCTGGCTGTTTGGCACCCTGTCCAGTTGCCCCTCCCCGTGCTGCCCACCAGCTTCCGGGGAACGCTAGCCTCGGGAGCTGTCCTGGGCCTTGTGCATGCCAGAGCCCTTGCCCATGGCCTCCCTCTGTGTCCTTGCTGGCTGGAGGCCACGGGTCCGACTTGCCGGGCCATTGCTCGGCTACTGGTTGGGTGCCTGGCATGGGGGCCCCCACTCCCAGTCCCTGTCTCTGTGGAGCTTCCAGTCTTGATAAGGGACCCAGGAAGGGAGTGGCTGCATTGCACCCACAGCACACCTGTGAGGCTGGAGGGCCTCTGCACAGACCCCTCCCGCCAGAGAGGAAAGGCGAGGCGCTGCCCAGGCCGCATCTGACCGCAGCTTCTCAGATAGCGGAGCCAGAGTTCAGGGCCCTTTCTGTCTTCGCCAGCACAGGTGAGGTGCTCCGGGCACTCGGCCGTCCCCCGAGGGCCTGTCTGGCTCTTTTCCTTCCACGGCCCGTTTAGCTCCTTGCCCCCAGTCCCCTGCACCTCCCTCTGTTTATGTTGGGGCTGACGTTTCTATTGACGTATTGATCTCTCTAGCCGAGGAGCGTTTCTGCTGAACGGGCCTGCTTCTCGCTCAGGGGCCAGCAGGGCAGGCTCGGGTGGGGGTGGCAGGAATGGGGGGGCTCGAGTCTGGGATTGGAATCGGAAGGGGTGTCAGGAGTTTTAAAAGATTATTTATGATCACTTATTTATTTGAAAGGCAGAGTTGAGAGAGAGGGAGACATATCTTCCATCTGCTGGCTTACTTCTCAGATGGCTGCAACGGCCAGGGCTGGGCCAGGCTGAGGCCAGGAACCTGAAACTCCATCTGGGTCTCCCATGTGGGCGCAGGGACCCAAGTCCTTGGGCCATCATCTGCTGCCTTCCCAGGTGCATTAGCAGAGAGGTAAATTGGAAGTGGAGCAGCCAGAACTCGAACCGGCACCCATATGGGATGGCGGCACTGCAGGCGGCGGTTTAACCAGCTGCGCCACAATGATGGACCCAGCATGGAGATTTTGATGGGAGCAGAGAAGTGATTACCTGAAGGAGGAAAGTGGTCAGGGCTGACCCCTCTGATCATGCATCCGTGTCCGCCCCCGGTGGCCTTTGGGGGACAGGACGCGATGAGACATGCATTGGCATGGAGTCTTAGGAGCCACTCCAGAACCGAGTGGAGGAGCTTTCCCGCCCTGTTCTTCATCCGTGGCTAAGAGGCTCACGACTTGGGGATGTGCTTTAAAGCCTTGTGCATCCCCGAGGCGTGAGCATGCATGAAGATGTGGCAGCCACTTCCTGGGGAACTTAGCCAGGTGTGACCTTGAGGGCAGAGTTCTGTCCTTGGCAGCTGGCCTCGGGGAAGGGGATGGCAACACGGTCTGAAAATGGGCCCTTCTGTTGTCCAGACAAAAACACTTGTGTCCGGGCTGGCACTGTGGCGCAGCAGGTTAAGGTCCTGGCCTGAAGCTCCAGCATCCCATGTGGGCGCCGGTTCTAGTCCTGGCTGCTCCACTTCCGATCCAGCTCTCTGCTATGGCCTGGGAAAGCAGTAGAAGATGGCCCAAGTCCTTGGGCCCCTGCCCCCATGTGGAAGACCCGGAGGAAGCTCCTGGCTTCAGAGTGGCACAACTCCAGCTGTTGGCGGCAAGTTGGGGAGTGAACCAGTGGATAGAAGACCTCTCTCTCTCTCTCTGCCTCTCCTCTCTCTGTGTAACTCTGACTTTCAAATAAATAAATAAAAATCTTTAAAAAAAAAAAAAAGAAGAAGAAGAACACTTGTGTCCACCTGACAGTTGGCACAGCAGTTCCGCAGCCAGGCCCCCTCAGCGCCAGAGCTCCTGCCAGCCCCTCACCGGGCCAGCAGGCTTTGGTTCCGGATGGGGTCTCTTTGTTGCAAGAACCCTGGAGGCATTAGGGAGCTGCTACTTTGCCTTTCACTTTTCATCGCTTCCTTGCGGGGTTTCCTCTCACTGGCTTCTTGTGGCTCTGGACCCCTGCCTGCACAGCCCCTGCCCTCAACACACGGTCTTCCCACTCGGGCCTGGCCTTCCGTGGGGTGGTGATGAGCCCTTCATCGGCAGTTACACGTGATGAGACGTCACATTGATTTGCACTTGACACCGTCTGCTAACCCGGCACCTTCACGCACGCGGGCCAGCAAGACGCTAGCAAGTTGCATGTCAGGGAATGCGTGTTCTCACCTTAGTGGGGGGAGAAGTGGGCAGGGCCTGGGTCCTGGTTCCGGCTCCACTGCTGCCCAGGGGGTGGGCACTTCCCTGCCTCTCCCCAGGGCTGGATTCCAGGCCACTCGCCCTTGGCTCTGACATTCTAGGCTTTAAGAACGCTGGGGACCCAGGCATCGGATTCCACATCTGCAGGACGCAAGCCTCCACAGCAGCACCTGCACTGGCCAGCCCTGCGGAATAACTGTCCAGGTAACAGGTGCAAGGGAAGCATCGACCCTTGGCCATGGGGGGGGTGGCGGGGAGTGCCGATGGAGGGGGAACCTGGGGTTCAGAGAGCAACAGTGAGAAAGGAAGATGGGGCAGGACCAGAAGGAAAGCTGAATGCACAGGTCAGCCTCCCCTCTCCACCACACGCCCACCGCTGACGCCTCTGACCCCAGCCCCAGCCTCGCTGGGCCCCACTCCTGCCCCTCCCCACGCTGGCACCCCTTAGGCCCTGCTCTGTCCTCCTCCACACCAGCATCCCCAGGGAGCCCTGAGCCAGCCCCACGGGGCGCCCTTCCCAGCCCCAACACTTACCTCCTGCTGGGTCCGATGTAGAGAGAGCCCAATGGCTGTGCAGGTGCCCTGCCTGACCTCTCCCCGCTTCCGCCCCACCCCCCAGCTCCTTCTTCCCAGCCCTTGCTCACCTGCAAGGAGGCCCTTATGGGACGTGAGCGGGGAGAATAGGAGCGACATTCCAGCAGAGGACAGGATGGCATCCCGTTGCTTAGGGGTACGGACACAGGCGGGCCTGCTGGTTCAGGGGCTTGGCGAAGCTGTGGTCTGTCAGGAACCCTTGGCAGTGGGGGCGGGGGCGGGAACAGCATAAGAGGCCCCAGGGAGCTGAGCATACAACTTGTGGACTGCAGTGGCCACCTGCAAGAGTGTGTGTGTGGGGGGGGGGTCAGTCAGGTACAGCTGCAAGGGAGTGATTGCTTTTGTCCTGGGAGGCCACGCACGGCTTCCCAAGAGACGTGATGGACCCTGCCCTGGCCCAAGCATGGCCTGGAGGGGAGAGGTCAGGAGCAGAGTGTGACGTTCAGGCGACCCTGCTGCTGTCCCTGTAACCCCACCCTCCTCTCTAGGCGCCTTGGTGTTGCCATGGCAACGAAGCCCCAGCGCTCACCCCCACCCCCCAACACCTCCTCACAGAGCTGGGACCTCGGTGAACTCACTCTGGGGAAAACATCCGGGTGTGGGGCGCAAAGTGGCCCTGGAGAGGCTGGGGGAGGAGCCTTTTTTTTTTTTTTTTTTTTTTTGACAGTGAGAGAGAGAGACAGAGAGAAAGGTCTTCCTTTGCCGTTGGTTCACCCTCCAATGGCCGCTGCGGCTGGCCCGCTGCGGCCGGCGCACCGCGCTGATCCGATGGCAGGAGCCAGGAGCCAGGTGCTTTTCCTGGTCTCCCATGGGGTGCAGGGCCCAAGCACCTGGGCCATCCTCCACTGCACTCCCTGGCCACAGCAGAGGGCTGGCCTGGAAGAGGGGCAACCGGGACAGAATCCGGAGCCCCGACCGGGACTAGAACCCGGTGTGCCAGCGCCGCTAGGTGGAGGATTAGCCTAGTGAGCCGCGGCGCCGGCCCAGGGGAGGAGCCTTTGAGAGGTGGACGGAGATCACCCTTATGGAGAGCAAGCAGGAGGCCCCTCTCACCCCTGCAGCAGCACCAGGGGTGACCCGTGCAGGGACCCCAAGGGCAGGTGGCACCATGGTGGAGGCTGAACTCTGTCTTTGAAAGCACCAGGAAAACTGAGTTCAAACCGCGGCCCCCGGGTCCCAGCAGTCCCTGGCTGCCAGCCTCGCCCGTGCTCCACCCTGACCTTGCCAGCTGCCCCCATCCCAGCGTCGGTGGGAAGCATGCAGCACGGGGCCTCCGACACCGAGCTCGGCCGCGCAGGGCTTAGGGGAAGGGGCTGTCCTGGGCCACCAGAGTCTGCCCTCGTCCCTGTGGCCTCTCCGCCCTGGGGAGGCCTGTAGGGGTGCGGGCTATGACGGCGGATGCTCTGGCTGCTGGGCACCGAGGGGAGGGCCGTGTGGCCTGGCTCTGGAGCAGGCGGGGTCAGTGGGAGAGCCGTGGGCTCAGAGTTCGTTCTCCACAACCTCCCTGGACGGTGGGAGGTGGCAAATCCAGTTGGGATCCCACTGGGAGGTAGGAGGTAGGGCCCTTGGGCAGGATGGACCTAGCGCTTTAGCAAAAGTACCCAGATGCCCCTGGGAAGGGGCTCCTCGTTCCCACCGCAGGCTTGCGGTCTGTAACCAGCCACCTGCTGCCACCTTCCCCGGCCTCCTTGCTCAGCCCACCCTTCCCTGGGCAAGGGGGTGTCCAGTCCGTTATCTTTTATTCTCCCATCAGGCCCCTCCCAGGAATACTGGGAGCTTCTTCCCCAATCGCAGCTTGCGTGCACTGTTCCCTCCCTTGTCCCCAACCCATTGATTGGCCTTGGAGGCTGCTCACGTTCCGGCTGTGGGCCCCGCTGTGCAAGGTACATCCTGGGCCTCCTGGCCCAGCCTTTCCAGCTTCTCTCCTTGGGGCTTCCCTGAGGCAAGCGGGGTGGCAGGTACAGGGAGAGTGGGCACTGGGTCAGGTGGCCCTGGGGGTGCCCCCACGCAGGACTGTGGTGTGTGGAGCCTGCGCCTTGGGGACTGCACTCTGCTGCCTCCCCCCGCCCCCCCTCCACGGCTTTCTCCAGCTTCCACTCCCTTTGCTGGTCACCTCCCACTCAGAGCTCGTCCCTGGTCGATGTTTTGAGAGGCAGAACCCACTGGCCCCGTGTGGCCTCGGGCTGGCTCACCCTGAGGGGCCTGGGCTGGGCACGGAAGCCACGGCCCTCCCTGGCCAGGACAGCCTTGAGACAGGTCTGTGGGTGGGTGGGTGGGTGGGGGAGTGGCAATGCCAGGCTGTTACATTTTCATTTGCTTGACAGGTACCCACTGAGCCATGCCACACGTCAGGCTCTGCTGTAGGCCCAGGCAAGCCACAGAGGTGAGGTCGGACCCAGCCTGGCCCCTGCCGTTCTTCTCCTGTGTGCACCCCATGGAGTCCAGCAGCCTCCTGACTGAGACACGGGAGAGAAGGTGTCTGCGGGACCCAGGATTGCACAGCGAACCTGGCAGTGCTGAAAGAATCATCCGGCCCCGGATTGCCCAGACAGAAGGCACAGCCCGGAGTGGGGCCTGGGTGATGCGTGCAGGCCACAGAGGCTTGTGAGGCTGGTGTGGCTGGCCCCCGCCTGCACTTCAGGGGCGCAGCCCTCAGGTTTCTTCCTGGAGAGGGGAATCCCCCATCTCCTGATTCAGTAACTCTTCCACTCTGGCGTCTTCTCTCTCCCTCCAGCCGCCTGCACCTGGCCTTGGCTGCACCTGGCCTTGGCTAATGTTGGTGAGCCGGACCGGGAGGGCGCAGGGGACCCTGTCTGCCAGTCGAGGGGCCAAAGTCACCCCTCCATCCTCCAGGAAACCACACAAGCCACTTCCCCCAGGGTCCGGCTGTGAGGCCACTTCTGTCCCCACCTGTTGATTGGTGAGTTTTCAACTCTGTGGGAGGTTTCCTAAAACAGGATGCCCTCCCGCACTGATGCACACGGAAGCAGCCACGCTGGGGACACCTGCCACCCCTCAGGCCGGATGGGACAGGAACCGAGGGCTTTCCAAGTGCTGCTTTTCTAAACCCGATAATGAGAAGCAGGAGCCCCCTGCACAGTGGGCAGTGGGAGGCCCAGGTCTGGGTTCCTGATCCACACAGGAAACACTAACATTTTTAAATTCAAGAGACAGAGAGAAGAGAGAGAGAGCTTGCATCAGCTGGTTCATCCCCCGAATGCCAGCAACGGCTAGGAGCTGAAGCCAAGAGCTTAGCATTCAGCCCAGGTCGTCTCCCACCTGGGTGCAGGTAACTCACCACTCGAGCCGTCACTGCTGTCTCCGGGGGTCTGCATGGGCAGGAAGCTGGAGCCAGGAGCTGTATCAAACCCAGGCCCTCCGATGCAGGACGCGGGCATCCTGGCCAGCATTTGTAATGCCTGGGCTAAATGCCCAGCCCAAGAAACGACTGTGCGTCACTCGGGCTGCCCCTAGAGTCTCGGTAAGCCTGGGGTGGTTCCGTGTTGACTCTGCCTGCCCTAAGTGGTGTATGAGGGGAGTGAGGCGGGGACACCCTTCCCGCCCGGGAATACTGCAGTCTCCGAGTGACAAAGCCAAACGCACTCAAAGAGGTTCGGAGAGAGATTGCATTAGGGAGCAGTTGCCTGCGATTGTTACCAAACTTTTGAAAAAGCAAGAAACAACAAAGAAATAAAAGCAGTAGATAATTAAGTACATAATTGTACACACCACTTGTTAATTAAGCTTTTACTCCTAAAACCTGACAGAATCTGCTTACAAGGTGCTAGCGGGCGGGAGCGCAGCATATGGTGCACCATCTGCGACGCCAGCGCTCGGCCGTGACAGCGGCTCTGCCCCACGGAGAGCAGGCGAGGCTAAATGTGGTTTTCCGGAGCACAGCGATCCGTCTTCATTCCTGCAGAACGCGAGGGGACGGCGTGAGCACGCGGCAGAGAACTGTCAGGGAGAGGCCCCGCGCCAGGCCCGCCCCCCGCCACTGGCCACTGCACCCAGAGCCTTCTGGGAACCCCTGTGCTTGCCGCCTCTGCCTACAAGCATTTTTTTAAGCTTTTGCATTTAACAATCATTTATTTGAAAGGCAGTTACAGAGAGAGGAGAGAGACAGAGATCTTCCATTCGCTGGTTCACTCCCCTGATAGGGGAAGGGAGCTGGATCCATGGCGAAGCAGCCAGGACTCTCATTGGTATCCCATGCTGGTGCTGCAGGCGGCGGCTTTACCTGCTGCACACGTGAAGAGCTCAAGGTCTTGAGAGACGTAGTCGCAGAGGGCTTGACAGTCCGTCACGGCAGGTGTCTGAGAGGTCCTTAATGTCCCCATGCGGCCGTCTGAGCTGTGAAGTGGAGATGGCGGCCCCCACCCTCCCCGGGACACGAGCCCCCGTGATGATGAGCCCGTGCGGAAAGCACACTGGACATGGAGGCTTTACGTGGTCAAGAAGCTCTTGCATTCCATGAGCTCAGAACTGCATTTTCATTTAGGCCCGGCCCGGCCTCCAGGGCTGCGGGCAGCCGGGGGAGAGGCCTGGGGGCGCCCTGGGGAGATGGTCTTGGGGAGAGGGCAGCAGGTGGGGCTGTCTCCTCCCTGCCGAGGGCCTTCCCGGTTCCTCTGCTTGTCCTCTGAGCGGCCACAGGCAGCCCTGCCGACCCTGGCGCGTGGGAGATGGCCTCGGGGGTCAGTGGGTGGGCTGGCCCTGGGGCTCCGCCTCTCTCACTGCCTTCTCTCCCCCGTCCCCAGGCGGCACCTGGTGTTCTTGTGCAGAATCTGTCCCCACTCCTGGGTCCTTAGCCCTGCCTACCCCATGAGGGGCTGTCTGGGGTCTCATGCCCACCCCTTGGTCCTGTGACTTAGCACAAAACAGTGATCTTGGGAGGGACCCCATATTCAGAACTGCCCTCAGTGGCTGGCGCTGTGGCGCAGTGGGTTAAGCTGCCACCTGCAGCGCCAGCATCCCATAGGAGCAACAGCTGAGTCCCGGCTGCTCCACTTCCTGCCCAGCTCTCTAATGAGCCTGGGAAGGCAGCGGAAAATGGCCCAAGTATTTGACCCCTGCCACCTACGTGGGAGACCCCGCGGAAGCTTCTGGTTCCTGGCTTCAGCTTGGCTCCTGGCTTTGGCCTGGCCGTTTCAGCCATTTGTGGGGGGTGAACCAGCGGATGGAAGATTTCTCTCTCTGTCTCTGTCTCTCTTTCTCTTTCTCTCTCTCTCTCAATAACTCTGCCCTTCAAATAAATCTTTTTTTTTTTTTTTTTTTTGACAGGCAGAGTGGACAGTGAGAGAGAGAGACAGAGAGAAAGGTCTTCCTTTGCCGTTGGTTCACCCTCCAATGGCCGCTGCGGCCGGCGCACCGCGCTGATCCGATGGCAGGAGCCAGGAGCCAGGTGCTTTTCCTGGTCTCCCATGGGGTGCAGGGCCCAAGCACCTGGGCCATCCTCCACTGCACTCCCTGGCCATAGCAGAGAGCTGGCCTGGAAGAGGGGCAACCGGGACAGAATCCGGCGCCCCAACCGGGACTAGAACCCGGTGTGCCGGCGCCGCTAGGCGGAGGATTAGCCTAGTGAGCCGCGGCGCCGGCCTCAAATAAATCTTTAAAAGAGAAACAGCCTTCAGCAGACGGACTAGGGTCCTAGCCTTCTGCTTCCTGGACCCCAAAGCAGGGGCATCAAGAATTCCCACTGCTGCAAGCATCCTCAGAATCCCTGGCGGCTGTAGGAGGCGGCTGTCGGGCTCGCGGGCTGCTGGCCTCCGCCACCACCTGCCCTGCAGGACTTGCTGCCTGCACTCCTGGGTAGGCTACTGCCGCTGCCCTGCCACGGCCCAGCCCTTCCTCCAGGCCTAGTTCTGCAGGAGGCCTGCGAAGCTCCAGTCTGCTTGGCCTCGGAGCAGACCCCAAGTCTCCCTCCTGGAAGGCAGCTCGCTCATCAGCCCACTGCGGGGATGCAGCCGGGCATCTCCAGGTCTCTGTGCAGCCCCGCCCTGCAGGCAGGGGTGAGGGGACCCTGAGCACAGGGAGCCCTGGATTCCAGACAGGCTGTGTCCCAGGGTTGGTGCTGGAGGGCTATCCGTTCCCCCAGAGAAGATGGGGTGCCCAGCACTCTCCACACTTCATCAACAAAGAAGCCAGGAGCAACTGCATCCCCACGTCATCGCACACGCCTGTGCCAAGGCTGGAAGGACCTGAGCCGGCGTGGCCTCCACTCCCCGAATTTCACAGCTAAGGGGGGGGGAGGGACTTGCTGAAGGTCACCACAGCAACTGGGGTGCTCCCTGTCTCGGAGCCATGCCTCCGCTACCCTGGGGCCGCAGGACACCGGCTGCAGTGAACACCGGACAGGAAAGGACTTTTACCAGGAGGTGGTGGACAAGGGAAAGCTGACCTTGACCATCACTGAGCTGGTGGGGGAGGGGCGGTTTACAAGGCTGGGACGATGGGACGGAGGGGTCTCCAGGGGCCGGTAGGCAGCTGCTGTATTTCTGAGAACAAAATTCTTTATTGTATCAAGGGCAAGAGCTCCTCTCAGACACGCTTTTCCTGACCAGCTCTGACGTCTTGGGAGAAAAACGGCAGAAGTAGGGCACAGAGGAGGCGGGTGGGAGGCGGGAAGTGCAGGTGCAGGCCCAGGGCCCCACAGGCTGAGCAGGAGCCGCTTGAGGGCCCAGAGCCCTTGTCCAGCTCTGGGTAGGGTTTGCAGCACAGTGTCTGTCTCAGGGGTCGTCCCAGCAGCGGAATGGAGTTGACACAGTGGCCACCCTGTGCTGCGGCGCCCAGGACAGTCACAGGAGGCCCCCAGGGCCCCGCTGCCTGCTCCAGCAGGACCGTGGAGGCTCTCGGCTACAGCGGGGAGGGGCTAAAGGAGAGGAGGCTGCAGGCTCTCAGGTGAGGACAGGGGCTGGTGAGGGGAAGGAGAGGCTGGGCTGGGGGCGGGGCAGCAGTCTGGGAAGGGGTCCCCCAGCAGGAGAGCAGAGAGGGCCATAGGCGTGGCCTGGTGCCAGGTCCCTGCTCCAGACAGCAGTGCAAGACTGCATGGCTGCCCAGCTTCCCACAGCCACCCTACCGTAGGGGAGAGGTGCAATTCCCCATGGAGGGGTCTGTCCAGTCCCCAGGTGCAGCCCCCTTGCAGCCTGCCCTGGCCCCCTGGAGGCGCAGACACCTGCCGGAAGCCCATGGTAAGCAGACAGCAGAGGCCATCAATGCGCACACCTGCACCTGCTGTCAGGTGCACGGGGGCGGCCCCTAGCCCTGGAGCCAGGGAGCCAGGGACCTCTCCCCCCGGGGCCCAGCGCTGGTGCTGGCAGGTGGCTGGGAAGCCGCTCTCTCTCTGAAGATCCGCCAGCTGCTCTGGGCCACCGCCAGGCCCTCTGCCTTGCCCCCAGGCTCCTCCTCTTGCACTGCTACCAAAGTCCCCACCCCCACCCAGGCCAGGTTTTGATGGGAAGCTTCTGTCCCTGGCTGGGCCTCCTGACTGCCCCACAACTCTCCCTTGGCACGGTCAGTGCGGGTAGCAGCCAAGGCCCCTGCCCTCAGGACCCCGGTCAGAGCCCTTCCCCGCCCCCTCCCCACCACGCCAATGCCGACCCCCACCCCCAGCTCCAGCTGCTGCTGCTCTTGATCCCACAGAGCCTGCTGAACGCTGCTGGCTGCAGCAGGGTGGCCGCCCTCTCTGTCCTCCGCACAGTGGCCCCCCTCTTGCTTGCTCTCCCTGCCACCTGCCCACCTGCAAACCTCCCAGGCGGCGGCCCAATCCTGCAGCCACCTTGCTGGCCCAGCTGCTTACCTGGGCCCAGGAGTTCCTGCCTGGAGCTCTGAGCGCAGGCCCACCCGGCGGTGGGGAGCGGAGGACCCGGGCTGGAGCAAAGGACTCGAAGTTGAAAGGAAGCTGCTGCCTTTTTTTTTTTTCTTTTTTCTCTTTTCTTTCTTTGAAAGTCAGAGCTACAAAGAGAGAGGGAGAGACAGAGGAGGGGAGAGACAGAGATCTTCCATTCACTGGTTCATTCCCCAAATAGCCACAATAGCCAGGGCTGAGCCAGGATGAAGCCAGGAGCTTTCTCCAAGTCTCCCACGTGGGTGCAAGGGCACGAGCACTTGGGCCCTCTTCCACTGCTTTCCCAGGCCATCAGCAGGGAGCTGGATCACAAGCAGAGTAGCCAGGACTCTAACCCGTGCCCATAAGAGATGCTGGCACTGCAGACGGTGGCTTTACCAGCTACGCCGCAGTGCTGGCCTTAAAAAGCAGCTTCTTGAGTGAAACTGGAGATTAGAGACTCCGCCCAGGACCCCTAGACCCCTGGATGGCGGAGGTGAATGGCCTGAGGGATGGAAAGTTACTCTGCAAAGATCTTGCTTGGCAGTGATGTGTGTGGGCTCCCCAACGGTACAGATGTGCGCATGCCTTCTCTGAAAGAGGAGAAGTGACAGTCGCGTGGTGCCTTTGCCAGCGTCCTCACCCCCCTCTCGCCCTGCCTGCTGCACCCCGGTCCTGGTCGAGGACCACAGGTCCCCATTCGCTCATCCATCCATCCCAACCACAGGGCAGGATGTCAGGTGCCCAGCACTGACGAGGGACAGGCTCAGGAATTCCTCAGAGTCCCAACCAACCTCATCTCACTGCATTAAAAACCGGCGCCGCGGTTTACTAGGCTAATCCTCCGCCTGTGGCGCCGGCACCCTGGGTTCTAGTCCCAGTCGGGGCGCCAGATTCTGTCCCAGTTGCTCCTCTTCCAGTCCAGCTCTCTGCTGTGGCCCAGGAAGGCAGTGCAGGATGGCCCAAGTCCTTGGGCCCTGCACCCGCATGAGAGACCAGGAAGAGGCACCTGGCTCCTGGCTTCAGATCGGCGAAGCGCTGGCTGTGGCGGCCATTTGGGGGGTGAACCAACGGAAGGAAGACCTTTCTCTCTGTCTCTCTGTCTCTGTCTCTCTCTCTCTCACTGTCTAACTCTGCCTGTCATTAGAAAAAAAAAACTTTATTTAATATTGTTGGATAGGCAGAGAGACAGACAGATGGCCCACCCACTGGTTAATTCCTCAAATGCCTGCAAGGGCCCCAGGCTGAAACTGAAGCTGGGAGACAGACTCCACCTACACCTCCCTCTCCTGGGGCGCGCATGAGCAGGGAATCAGATCTTGAACCTTAGTGCTCCAATATGGGATGCAGGAGTCTCAGTCAGCACCTTTTTTAAAAAATTTGTTTATTTGGAAGTCATAGCTACAGAAAAAGAGGAGCCAGAGGGGGAGGGAGCCATTCCTTTGATGGCTACAGTGGCTGTGGCTATGGCTGGGCCAGGCCAAAGCCAGGAGCCTCTTCCAGATCTCCCAGGCTGGTTGGTGGCAGGGGCCCAAGCACTTGGGCCATTTTCCACTGCTTTCCCAGGCCATTAGCACAGAGCTGGATTGGAAGTAGAACAGCAGGACATGAACTGGACCAGCGCCCCTATGGGGTGCCAGCAACACAGATGGTGGCTTTACCCGCCGTGCCATAGTCCAGCCCCCTAGTTGACATCTTAACTGCTATACCAACATCCCACCCGGAATCTCATTTTTTAAGTAAAGATGACATTTCCATTAGTTCCCTTGCTGTACTTGACCTTGTCACCCTCTCTGGGAGTGAATGCAGCGTCCACAAGTTCTGATTTCTGCTGTGGGAGCATGGTGACCAAGGAGGGGCAGGGCCAGGGCCCTCCACACAGGCCCAGTCTCAGGAAAAGGGACCCTACATGGCTGGCAGTGCAGCAGGGCCTGGCCCCAAGGCGCGGATTGATAATCTCACAAGACGTGGGTGGCATGCCGTGGACAAGTCCAGAGCTGTACTGGCCCCACCCCAGGCTCTGCCCAGGGAGCTGTGGATGGGAGCTGGAGTGTGAGGAGGGACCCATCACTGCCCAGAGCATTGGCCAGAGCAGGCATCTTGAGGACGGTGGGCCGATGGCGGCAGAAGCTCTAAGCGGGCTGAGAGCGTAGCGGGAGGTTCTATGGGGGAGGACGCGACACCGGGCCGACCTAGGGGCTGTAGAGCTGGGAATGGTTTCGAGGTTCAGGTCCCCTGCCAATGTGTCCCCCACCCAGCCCCTGGCTCTGAGCTGACAGCAATCAAGGGCGGAAAAATGAGCACTTGGCAACAATTAATTGCTAAGATGCAAAGAAAAATTTGTT